TCAAAACTGTCATACGACTTCCGATATGATTTATTGCTCTGAAACAGTGAATTCTACCAATGTTTTTAATGAAGTTTTGCCTTTTATCTAGACAATGATAATAAATAGACGTACACTTTATATATCAAATTTGATCAGCTAGACTAGATCTACAAAAAAGTCAATATAGCTTAACTCAATGGTCGACTTCTTATTAAAATTATTGCCCTTTAACGACTATTTTTCAAATTAATTTTCTTTTTTGCCTATTATCTTAAAAACTATAGTAGATATAAAGAAACTTAAAAAAACAAAAATGATCAGCAAGTAGAGATCTACAACTAAAAAACTCATGCAGTAGAATTATATTTGTGTACGTAAGACGCACGGTTGTCTACAAAAGACTCAGCAGGGACTCATTAAGGACCCACAATTCCAAAACGGTTTTCCAAATAAAGCAAAGGAATGGCAAAAATCGTAGTCGACTTTTAAATTATTTCCTTTTAATGACAATGGTTCCAAATATTTGCATTTTTGCTTTTTTATTTTGAATAGAGCCATTAACCCAAATAATCGGCTCTGTAAACATTTATTGTTGAAAATTCAATTGTTTTAGTAAATCTAATGTTTATGTATTAATGAATTTATTACTTTAAAAAGAAGAACAAAAATGTGTTCATATGCCTGTAATAGAAATAGATCTGTCACCAAAAATTTCATGTCTGCAAGTTTGTTTTTTCGTTTAAGAAAATACCGAAATCAAAAGCAATACTTTTTTCCAAATAAGTTTTAGTTTTACTCATTATCTAAATGCTAGTGGTTGACATGGAGATTGCCACTTTGACACTTAATCTATTGGATTCTGGATGTGTATTGATTTATGTAAGTCTAAGATACATGATTTTCCAAATTTTGTGTTATTGACCTTGAATTAGCAACTGTGAGTATTCTCAGATCTGTAATTTGTGTCTTTTGTTTTGAACATTCTGTCGATCTGATGAGTTAAGCTCATTTAACCTGGTTTTTCCCCCAGGAAAATGGCAGTTGTTATCTACAGTCAGTTTCTATGAATTTTGGCGTTTGCTTTTGTTGTAGTTCATTGTTTCTGTTGTTCCGTTATTTTCCTCTTATAGTTGATGTATTTTCCTCTGTTTTAGTTTGTTACCTGGATTTGTTTTTGCTTATTCGAATCATGACTATTGAACAGCGGTATACTACTGTTGCCTTTATTTGTAGTTCTTATGTTGTACTGTTACGCCACTGTCCTAGAGGAATGTTTTTTTTTCGCCAGAAGACATGTTAAACCCCGCCCCATTCTGTATATGCCTGTCCTAAGTAGGGAGCCTGTATTTCAGTGTCAGTTGTTGCTGTTAAGTCATATCTGATTTCGTTTTTTATTTTGTACATAAATCAGGCCTTCAGTTTTCTCGTTGAAATTGTTTAAAATTAGTCTTTTAGGGGCATTTTATCGAATACTATAACGTATAAGGTGTGTTTTTAAAGGCGTTCGGTGACCTATTTTTTGTTAACTTAGCTCATTGACAATCATACCACATTTCTTTACGTTATACAAATATATTTTCCATGAATGTTATTATAAAAGTAGAATGCAAATATTTAAAAGGGAAAAATGGACCATGTTTTTTTAACCGTATTATTTCTTTTGGTCTTAACATCAAAGAAAACGAAAAAAATGTATCGTCATTATACTGGATACCAAAACTTCACAAAACTCCTTATATAGAACGATATATACATGATATAGCAGGATCATCAAGACGTTCAACTAAACATCTCTCTAAAGAGTTGACTACTATTCTTTCTACGGTAAACGATAATCTTCAAAAATATAATCCATCAGTGGTGTCAATCAGATGTTGATTCTTAAAATTTCTACAAATCTACTGCTAAATATTAGATCGCAATCTCTGCAATTTTGCAGCAACATTAACACTTGATTTTTCTAAGCTTAACATTACTATTCCAAATGCTCAATTGAAAGATTGACTTCACCATCTGATTGAACAGAACTTTTTTTTATATAAAAATAAAAATCGTAGATATACATTTTTTTTGTAATGGGTTATAAAGATTCTTATTTTTCGAAGAACCACACTGCTTCTATCAGAGAATATACTAAAGATGATATTTTCAAAGTGCTGGACTTTTTGATCGACAATATATATTTGTTGAGTTTGGAGGATTGATATTTCAACAGACATTCGGCATCTCAATGGGTAGTACGTGTGAATCCCTACTAGCCGATTTGTTTTTTGTACTAGTATGATGCAGAATTCATTCAGAACTTTCAAAAAGACAAAACAAAAAAAACCTTGCGAAATTCTTTAATTTTACTTTCAGATGTATTGATCATCTCCTATCACTGAGTAATCCATATTTCAGCCAGTACTTGCATCTCATATATCCCAGTGAACTTGCAATTAAGGATACTACTGATACTAGAAAAACTGCTTCATACCTTCACCTTTTCCTAAATACTGATACAGATGGACGACTTCACACTAAAATCTATGACAAACGGAACGATTTCAAATCACAATTTTCAATTTCCCATTCCTCAGCAGTAACATACCCTCTGTCCCATTGTATGGTGTTTACATATCTCAGTTGATAAGTTATGCTTGTGCATGTTCACACTATACGGACTACATAAACAGGAGTGTTCTCCTTACGCAGAAACTGCTTTAACAGAGGTATGAGGTGGAAAAATTAAAATGACGTTCTGTAAACTTTATGGACATTCACGAATTAGTTGATCTTTACGATGTGTCTGTGTCTAAACTAACTGGCGAAATTTTTACCACGTCTTAGATTGTGGTTACCTATCAACGTCGTCCGGTCTGCCGAACGTGACCTATTCCCGAATGTGACTGTTTTGCCGAATGTGAATTTGCATTGCTATTAGACGTGTCTCGGTATACATCAAACATTCATGTATTATCTATGATGTTTGATTAGTAATTCTGGTTGGATATACTGTCTTATCGTTTGTGTTTTTAATTATATTTTTATTTTCTATATGATTGTAACAGTAAATATATTAATCACCTAGTTCATTTGTATGACTGTTTAGTTTGGAGCAACTGTACGCACAGGATTTATTTCTTTTTACACAGTTTGAATTAGACAAGCCGACATGGTTAGAAAATAAAATAATTACACCATTACTAACACAGTTCTATATTAATATGCTCGTAATGGTTAGAAAATACATCAAATAACACCAATACAAACGTAATCATTATTTTATATTGTATTTTGAGAAATTTACCTGTGACGTCTTTTTTTGTGGCGTTGATACATTCTTATGACGCACAGTTCATTATTCTATTGTGCTGTAATTGTAATCTTTCGTAAATTAATTTTAGGTGTATGTTGTTATTCTGTGGTTTATATGTTAAAAGGTTTTATTATATTATTTATTAATGTATTTCTCTGTCCTGAATGTTCTTCCATTTATTTGTACTGTATTCCTGTCATGCAATGTTGTCATATTAGCGTTATTTTAAACATTGTCATATAAGCGGGAGGTTTGGCAAGCCATAAAACCAGGTTCAACCGACCATTCTTTCTTAAAATGTCCTGTACCAAGTCGGGAATATGGCAGTTGTTGAGGGTTTTTTTGTAGTAGTTCAGTGTTTCTGTTGTTCCATTTTGTTTCTTCTTATAGCTGACGTGTTTCCCTCAGTTTTGGTTTGTGACCCTGCTTTTTTTTAGTTAACTCGATGTATGACTTTTGAACAGCGGAATGCTACTATTGCCTTTATTAAGAAGCGTTTTCCGTTTGATTTCTTTTAAAAATGAAAATATACAATAAATTAAAATTTTATTGTACCTTTTGATTAGTAATATACATTTAATCAAACCATAAAAAAATTTTTTGTCTTTTTAGACAAGGATGATAATATTAATATAAACAACATTAAACTATTTTCATGTAAATACAATATGGCTTGAGTTTTATATAATCACCACATACTGAATAACTATTCCCAATACATGTCAAATTACAAATATTTCCAAGATATCAATGATTTCAAATGTTGGGGTTTTTTTTATTAACCTTTTCACCATAGATCCATTTATATACAATCATATGTCATAACAAAATATCTTACCCGTAGGCATGATAGTTTACGTGAAAGTTCACTTCATAACAAAAAATAATGGAACTTTTTAAAGAAAATTCAAATCTATATATGCTTATCAGAAATTTTGGAACTTCAATGATTTTTTCGGCTGTTTTTTATTTTTATTTTATCTAAGTAGCTAGCCGAGCTTCTTGCATTGAATCATATTAAGATTTTTGAATATTCAGATGTATGATAATGTGGTAAACTTTCAAATGCAAACATCATTCCTTCAATATTGTTTGTTAACAAAGATATAGATTTGATCAATTTATTTATTTCATTCAATTATTGCAATACTCAATAATGTTTATTTCAGTACATTGATAATCTTAAATTATTAATACACATATCAAAAGCCTGTCAGAAATATCATTTCTTCGTATACATTTACTGCTGACGATTGTAATATTAAAATGTTTACTGCTTATTGCTTACATTGTGATGATTCAACGTTAAGATGCATGAAAGATCCGTAATGCCTCTTTATTGTAAGAAACGCTATCCTGAATTCAGAAATGTAGAGCATCAAAAATTCTCGAGGAAGCATGGTGTATTTGTAGCCGCGTACATAGCAACCAAAAGTGGTTTCGAAGTATCACAAAAAATAATTGTCTTCAAATTAATCACTGAGAACTTGGAGATGACGATATATATAGGTTTATTGGTGAAAACAAATTAAACAAAACCTTCACATTTCAAAGTTGTCGACGGAATATCTATAATTTTATTACAACCAAGTTTGATATAATTTGTGCATGTTAGGTTGAACTGATGGTATTCTTCATAAAAAAAATCATTTACGTCAGGATATCATCATGATCATATGCATTAGTGTATTTTTTTACAAAAGTTATTTTTCAGTTGCTCCAGATGTAACAGTCAACAAAAATATGTATGACATTGAAGAGGGCAAAAATGTCAAACTTCAATGCATTGCCAACGGGAAACCATCCAATTTTGTGTATGGGTGGAGGCACATGTTCCGTGATAAAGTTATTCGAACCTTTAAAACAAACTCACAAATTCTCTCGCTGGAAAATTTGTCATATCAAGATTTTGGACACTATGACTGCATCGTAAATAATGGTATCGAGGATCGTCAGGGAAGATTAAATCAGACAAATGGAACAGAAGTTGAAGTAAAATGTATGTATTGTAGTAGAACGTACAATTACAATAACAGGAGAAAATGCCTGTACAAAGTCAAGGATATGACAGTTGTTGTCCATTCGTTTGATGTGTTTTATCATTTGATTATGGACTTTTCGTTATGAATTTTCAGTATTTTTGTGATTTTACTTTTTATTTGTTATTAAATTAGATTCTTTTATAGAATATAAACATTATGGAGGCAAACTTAAAAATTCATATCCAGGAGGGAAAGCGTTACATTATGTCCCTACCCAATATGTTTTAAAGACAGTCAAAAGATACAAGGATACCAGAGGGACATTCAAACTCATAAATCGAAAATATACAGACAAGGCCATGGCTAAAAACGAAAGAGACCAACAACAAACAATAGTACACAAAACACAACATAGAAAACTAAAGACTAAGCAAAACGAACCCCATCAAAACGTTGGGGTGATCTCAGTTGCTCCGGACGGGTTAGCAGATCCTGCTCAACATGTGGCACCCGTCGTGTTGCTTATGTTAGTAAAAACCCGGTAATAAGTCTAATTCGGTAGGTCACATCCGTGAAAAATGGACGGGATTGTCAAATGTTGTAATACTATTGCAATATAAAAGTGTCTTAGATTGTCTGTACTCGAAAAGATCTTAGGCAAGATTTGAAGGTTGATCAGTTGCTTGTTACATGTATTACTGTTTGATCATTTTAATCATACATAATTAGCCATTCATGTGATCTTTGTCAACCAGCCATCCATGTGATTGTTGTTTTAAAGGAAATTTGTGAATAATTAGTTCGATATATGATGCCAGATTCGTGGCCGGGTATTATTTTCAAATATACAAATAATGCATGCATTACCAGAGGTGCTTATATAAGACGTTCATGGGATTTCATATACATTTTCTATAGAAGAACTGACTGCTTTATTAGCTACAAATAGATATGCAAGAGCAAATAAAAATTGTGCTCACGTGCTGTCAGCTATCCCCGTGTACTATGACTTTTGCAATACGACAGAAAAATTAATGGATTGGTGGTACACTTCCAGAGAAAATTATCATTCATATCAGGACAAGATCATGTTTATGTGTCGTATTTTTTATAAAACCGACATACGGAGTCGTATTGATCACATGTTCCACTAAGTTCGTGTTGCTCAGCCTTTTTTTTCTATGCTGTGTCTTGTATACTGTTGCTTGTCCGTTGATCTTTTTCTTTTCAGTCATGTCGTTGTCAGTTTATTTCGACTTTTGTGTTTAGATGTCCCTTAAGAATTTTCCGCAACACTTTCAGAAGATGTTTCATAGTTATAGAAATAATCCATCTGAAATATTTTGTTTTTAGATAAACCGATTTTTATCAACTTCAACACAGATATAACTGCCAAAGTTGGAGAGAATGTCATAATCGCGGTAGATTTTATTACTTTCCCTGATATAAATGGAGTAATCCAATGGACAAACTCTACTAGTAATTCAATTGTGATCAATAGTTCTAATTTGTTTACAACCTTGGAGAGGCACACTGCCAATACAACCATATACGGGAGGAATGTTTCAGTCTATACATTTAGTTACCGATCAGCTTTGGTACTTTCAAAATTTAGGATTGACCAAGCCGGTTTCTACAGTTTTCAAGTCAACAACACTGTCGGAGGAAACAACATAACGCTAAGAATTGTAGTATCTGGTTAGTAATGCATTAAAATTTAAAATAAGAACGGATAAGATTAAAACGTCTACTTTTGTAGAATGTTTATTGACAAGTTTTTATCATAACTCGTAACCGTTTATAAATTGATAATACAGACAAAACTTTGGAAAACTTTACTGTTAACTTATCTATCACGTTAACATAATTCCTCCACTGACCCTTGTAACATAAATAACTGTTATACGTTAATAATACATATAGTGCAAATATATACCACAATGAATTATTTTAACTGTACCAACAAATGTATACTGATATATGAAATTTATATAAAGTGTTGTTTCCATTTTTACCATCACTGGGTCAATACCTCTGCTGGTGAACTATCAGTCCCCGAAGGTATCATCAGCTTAGTAGTCAGTACTTCGGAACTGACATGATTTATAACAATCCTTTCTACAATTATCTTTTTATAAATTTTGAAATTAAAACGAAACTAAGGTTTCAACTCCCTCAGGCAAAGTTGGCCTCAGATGAATTTGACTATTTTATTAGCCATAGGTTATTTTTTTGTGATATAGCTCTTCAATTGTTTCTATTCTTATAAATGCTTGGCTTTGAATTATTTGGGCTTGAGCTTTGATGAAGGTAAATACAGAAATGCATGAGGTTTACATAATGTGTTGTTTTCATTTTTTGGTAAGCTCTGAACTATGTCTCCTAGTTGCTTGATTTTAGTATGAGTTATCTTAAGTTTTTAATTTTGATCTTGAATGAAGCTATTATTTTCAGTTTGTCTTTTATTGTTGTTTATTTGTTTGTATATAGGCTAAATTGTTATTAACTACTAAGCAGCTGTATGAACCGTTTGATTAAAAAAAAACGGCAATGATTACATTTGTTAAGAGTACGAAGTTGGGTTAACACTTACATTTGATAAAAAAAAACATGCAAATAAAAGACCAGACATCATGTTTTGCAAATGAAACAATTGTCATTTTCATACTTTGTTTAAAGGCAAACACCTTCGTTGACCTCGATTTTATTATCATTTCCAAGAATGTCCTACAGACTTTAATGTAAAATTTGTAAAACACCTATTATTTATCCATTAGGAAACATTTTCCTTCAACCCACGAAAACTGAAAACAAAGATATTTCAGTATTTAATAGATATAAATTTTTGTTATGATTGTTGCCTTTATCTATTGCTGTCATAATGACAATAATCTCGTATCTCCATGAACTAAGTTTCATATAAGTTAAAATGATACAAAAACCGTTTGTTTGAAATTTGTCAAGGAAATGCGACGTTTCCATTGTCTTTACGTAATGCCTATGATGACTTGCGAGGGTCAAAACGGACATTGTTTTATCGTGGCGACGCAAGTTTGTGATTGTTTCTATTATATACAACAGTCACATGTTTCTGCTGAAAATATTTATGTAGTCAAATTTAATTCAACTGTTATGCGTAAAATGGCCAAATATCGACGCTGTACGTTCTCATGCGCTGTACTGTTAACGGACAAAAGACAATAACAGTGATTACCTGTGTTTTTGTGTTTTTAACAATAGGAGAATTGATGTAACTCGTAAGAATTGATTTTCGCTTGACGTCAACTCGTCCATTATTATATTAAATTTAGATAACACGAGATAATATCAAGCGCTTTCTAATTCTCACTCGATGTGAAGCTTATAATTATCAGTATGTAACTAAATTCAAGAATTATGAATATAAAGTATATATATATATATATATATATATATATAAAACTTCTGAATAATAGTCAACGATTTTCCCACGAGGGCGCTGGATCGTTACGAGTAACGATACATGAACACAATAAATAAATTATATAAACGCCTAAAAAGTGTACACAACAACACCAATAACAAAAAAAAAGGAACTATAAATGTAATTATTTATAAATATTTCGGATAACAGATATCCTTCATCAGTAAATATGATTGTGATGTTGAATGAATCATATATCAGTCTACTTAGATTAAACTATAACAATCTTGAAATTTGTACAATAAAAAATTCAAACCGAACATCAGGTAAGACGCTTGCACAATTCTAAATATGTGTTAAACACGACATAGGTTATATGACTAATTACAACAGAGAGTTCAAATATATGTTTTAAATAAAAAATAATAATGTGCGATATGAACTAGCACAATTCTAAAGATTTAACGGTGACGACAGTTATGATGTTACAAGAACGATTGCGTCAATAAGAATTCCAAATAAACAGCACTGAACGATCTAACTTTGTAAATATTTCAAATTTGACAACGGTAGAGTAGTTACAACAGAGTCTGCGTATTTAAACATAGCAAACAAACGGCCGTTAAAATATAATAATACATTTGGACTAAGGTTAACTAATTGAACGTGGCTTGGTACTTTTACATCCCTCAAAATATTAAGCAATTTAAATTGGTATATTCAACAGATTTATTTTAGAAATGAGTAAGGTAAAGAAATAGAAACAGAGAGTGTAATAATAAGTAATATAACCCAAATGTGAAGCACTGCATGGAGTCGAACTACATCTTTTCATTTATCCCATTTGGTGCCAAAGTTGTTAATTTTCTTATCCAAAATCTTTCCCGAGTGAGTGTATCCTCCCTAGACCAAGCAGAGTTGTGGTCAATGATTGTAATGGTCAGTCGATTGAGATCTGCCTGAGTGTGGCCAGGGGATCTCAAATGTCGACTGAGAGGGAGGTCTGGCTTGCATTGGTAGTCGCTACGATGACCGTTCATTCGTTTGTGAAACGGCTGTTCTGACTCGCCAACATACTGTTTACCACATTTACACTGTAGGAGATACACAACATTTGTAGTCTTGCAATTAACATTGCAAAATATGGTGTATTCTGTACCAGTGGAGTGACTGTTAAAAGTCTGGGTAACCAGTATTTGTTTGCAAGTCAGACATCGTTTGTTTCCGCAACCCTTGCAAGAGCCCACAGACGAAAAGCCTGCTTGAGAGGATAAATCAGCTCTCACCAGCAAGTCTTTAAGGCTTTTGGGCCTACGGAAAGCCAGTACAGGTTGCTCGGGAAAGATCTTGGATAGTTTAGGATGTTTTTCGATTTCTTTCCAATTTTCGCGGATTAGGTGAGATAAGTTGTCAAATTTTGGATGGTAAGTCAACACAAAAGGCACCCTCCTGTTGACCTTTTTGACTTTATATTTTAAAAGTTCATCTCGGCTGATGTTGTTAGCACGAGAAAAACCTTTATCAATGTCTTTTCTTTTGTAGCTCCGATGTTTTAGGTGACCGCGAAGTTCTTGTAGTCTTTTTTTTTTTGCAATATCGTTGGTGGAGCAAATCCTTTTTATTCGTATGGCCTGGCTGTAGGGAATGCTCTTGGTGCAATGTTTAGGGTGACAACTCAAAGGAGATAGATATTGATGTTTGTCTGTGGGCTTGCAATACAGATCTGTAAATATGTTTCAATCCCTCACTTGCGTTGTAGTGTCAGGAAATGTGATCTTAGAGTCAGAGATTTCATATGTGAATTTTATTGAGGGATGGGCATCGTTGGCATGTTAAATGAACAAATTTAGTTCTTGTTCAGTATTATCCCACTTCATGTCAATATCATCGATAAATCAGAACCAAGAGAGGGGTTGATAAAGAGAAGAATTGAGAATTCTCTGTTCTAATTTCCCCATAAAAATATTGGCATAAGACGGGGCCATCTTTGTTCCCATTGCTGTTCCATTAACTTGGAGAAAGTGTTCACCATTGAATGTGAAGTTATTGCATTGTAATACCAAAGTTAGAAGCTGGATGAGACATTCAGTCGGTGGATGTAAGGTATTACGAGAGTTCCAGACTTCCCTACAGGCTTCAATACCATCGTCATGGGGGATGTTAGTATAGAGGGAGGTAACATCAAGCGAGAAAAGGATCGTTTCAGGTGGGAGAGGGTTCAAAGATTCAATTTTCTTAAGATAATGTGTTGTGTCTTGTATATAGGATGGTAAATTTTCCACATGTGGTCTCAGATGAAATTCAATAAATTCTGATATTTTCTCTGTAGGGTGGCCATTGGCGGAAACAATTGGTCTACCTGGATTATTGACTTTATGTATTTTGGGCAGAAGATAGAAACGCCCCGGCTTTGATTTTTCAGGTTTTAGATATTTAAATGTGTTTTCATCAATATGTCCCTGTTCACACATGTTTTTTAGGTTTGTGGTGATCTCTTTGTTGAATTGAGGGGTGGGGTCAGAGTCTAATTTCTTATAAAATCTCTCATCAGAGAGTTGACGTTCTGCCTCTTGAATGTAGTCACATAATATATATGTTAGTGAAAGTAAGAATTCAATACTAATAAAAATAAATGTAGCATTCGTATATGCTTGTATCAACAGTTAAATCTGTTTTAAGTATAACAATGATTACAACATTTGATAAATTTCCATGCAAGCAAAGCGATTTTTTTTTAATTTACCTTCGACAGGAACACTTCACACTGAATATATGGAAGCTAGGGACCGACATAGTCGAGGAGCAAAATGTCCATAAGGACCTTGAAATAAAAATAGGCTCTATTTCAGTTCAACTTTGCCTGAGGAAGTTATTTATAAGATATACAAAAATACTTTATTGTTGCACGATTGTAGTTGAAGAATTATTTAATATTTACTATGAAATGTATATACAGTTATATTCTGAGAAATCTCCGAAAACGTTCATTATTTTGATAAACTTAATATTTCTTTAATTGCAGGTAAGTTATAGAAACATATTTTCGGGGTATTTACATTTGCTTTTTGGTTGTTTTCTTTTTACAACCATCTCTAAGTTTCAAAATGTATGCTTTGTAAAATAAAAAAGTAAATGTTAAAAGTTTAAGATCATGACAGATACAGCCCATTAAAAAGTACATGAGTATCACTCTTATGTTCAACCTTTCCGTGAAATTAAGAGTTATTGAATAGCCTTGCAACATCCAACGATTTTTTGTTCCTTTATGTGAGATTTTGACAAACGCATCGTTGTCAATATAATGGAATTTGATGCGACTGTCATACAAGTGAGAGGTTTAGCTAGCTATAAAACCAGGTTCAATCCACCATTTTCTACATAAGAAAATGCCTGTACCAAGTCAGGAATATGACAGTTGTTATCCATTCGTTTGATGTGTTTGGTTTTTTTATTTTGCCATTTGATTGGGGACTTTCCTTTTTGAATTTTCCAAGAGTTCAGTATTTTTGTGATTTTACCTTTGAATACGTGCCGTGAAATTAAACTACCTAATACTTTTTGGTATATGTATAAATGGTAATTATTAAGTCAAGGATTTCTTTACCACTAATTGCTAAAGATCTTTACCAAATTCTTTCATAGAAGGTGGGTTGTTTTCTCCGGGGACCCAGGTTCACTCACCAATGCAAATAGACCGTAACGAAATAGTCAAAAGTCAATAAAGTGGCATTAAACACCAATCAATCATTCAATTCATTCTTCGATACAAAGATTGAGTTTGGATATTTGGTTGTACTGTAAAACACTAATTGTAAATGGGATAGCATATCGTAATTTTAAGGTTATATTGTTCACTGAGCCCGTCGATTTAGATACGACCCGGGATAACTGGTCTTTTTTTTTTTGATAAACTTATTTTACAAGGTTATCAGTGTGTCAAAGTTATTTAGTCGTTGAATGCTATTTTTATCGGTTAAAAATATTGATTATGTTATCAACAAATCAAAACCCAACTAAATATATACATTATTTTACACTTTTTACCTATATTTTGGCGTTGCGAATGTTCATGTTTGTCTACGACAGTTGATGCCGTCTTAACGCTAAATTCATTGAAAGATGTACACAGATTGTTATTCAAGTATCATATACTAGTACTAGTACACAATTTTCGTCTTAGTTTTCCTTGTTTTTAACAAGCTTTCAGTATCTGCGAGTTCTCTCAGATCTGTACTTTCTGTCTCTTGGTTTGTTTTTGTTACACTTCTGCATAGTCACCCATTAAGTGGCTATCACATGCTACCATTAAACTTACATTAAAATTAAGACCCATTCGAATAAAATTACCAAAAGTAATGGCTATTGTCCATGTTTAATGGCTTATTTGATTAGCTGTCAAATTCCAATTTAAATATATTTGCCTTGTATTTAATTATCCTTAAACTTCCATTAAAATTAGATGGTAGCAAACTTGTTGGCCCTTTTTAAATGGCTGCTACATTCCCCATTCCACCCCCTCCCCCACACACACACACACATACACACACACACGTGCAATGTTTAATAGCACCTTAAAGCTGTTCATTGTCTTATTTGTAATAGATACTCAATGTTCACTATGGCTTATTAATTAATGATGCTCGTTGTTCAGTTTCAAAATAACATGATTGTCTTAATTTCATAATACTTGCATTAATTGTTAGGTAAAATAAAAATATATGCGTGTTAAGGGTTTGCTTACTTACTCTACCTGCATACCGCTGTGATATTAACTAGAAAACGTCACAAACTTGCACCTACAATTCACTTGGTTCCATGGAGTCATGATAAAATCATAGGGTCATTTCCATTTTGTAATAATAGAACTGATTGTCCTATTCTTTCGATGACTGTAATAAAGAATTTAACCGCTACAATTTTTATTTGAAAATTTTTGCTTCTTCATTTAATCAGTGTATTAGTTCCAAAATTATCAACTATGCCACTAGTAATCATCTGTTGTTTTAGCTTATGTGCGCGGTGAACGCTTTTTTTTTTTTTATTTATTTCTTATTTGTTTTGAAAACTTAATTATTCATTATTTGTTAAAGTCTTGTTATTTTTGTCTCGCAAACCCTTTTAAATAGCACATTTTTTTCTTCACGATCCTGGCTATTGCTAGATCTCTTTACCAAATTTTTTCATAGAATTCGAAGGTCATGTACGTGTTGGGCCATGTGAACTCCTGTGGCTGTATCTGATAATTATCGGAGCTAGTGGTTGTAAAAGTGCAAAGAAAGATGAAAATACTATAACATTTCTGATCGGTAGCAGCTCATTAATTAGTTTAAATACGACTTTTAATCGTGTTATGTCGTATAAGCAGAGCGATGTAGTTTTGTATTTGAATTTTGATTTTAATGACACGCAAATTCGTGAAGCGTTCCATATGTTTTTATATGGCAATATGCAACAAATACTGGTAGACTTCGAACCGCGAAACATGTAGCTAAACTTTGGTCTACTCACCCGACTAGCGGAAACTGCAATTTGTGTGGACACTTTGTTCAAGATACACTTTAGCATCAAATTAGAATGTGCACAGAACTTCAAACACAAAGACACTTGCTATATAAAAGATTATCAGAAATGACTAGTGAAAATGTCTTATACACACGGCTTTCGAAATCAAACGAGTACGTGTCTTGCTTTTTGCTTGGCAATCATGAAGCTCTCTTGGATTTTTTAGCACCAGATCATTGTTTGGACGTTCTTAACGAAGGATTTTCCTTTCTAAAATACTGTAGACTTTAAATACTTTTCAATCCAAAATATTAAGTGACATTAATTCTATTATATAATTTCAAAACTTTGTAATTGTACATAATTTATATATGCATTTTGTCAATCTCCTATAGGAGGAAATAAAGTATGATGATGATGTATAAGCAGAGCGATGTAGTTTTGTGTTTGAATTTTGATTTTAATCCATCTTTTTTGGAAAGTAGGTATTTTAAATAATTTTGATCTGGAACAGTCATTTTAGTCTGAACAGATCATAAAGGACTACACAAATCATTAATAAGTAATATTCAGTTTATTAGTCAACATTCAGACTTAACCACTGTGGTAAAGTCAGGACCGTTTATCATCATACTGTCTGTACATTACTGAATTTACCGCAGAGGATAAGTCTGGAAATAGACTACAAAGACTGAACATGACTGAATAATTTACCTTTTAAAGACTTTTTAGATGATTTTAACATCAAAAAGACCGTTTAAGACTATTATTCATTTACAAGTGTATATATCCTTGTTTGTCTATATTTTCGCTTATTGATATTGTCCTTCTATTTCTCATTCAACAAATCATCCACTAGTAACTTTAAAAATTGGACCATTAATATCATTCAATTTCGATTTTGTCCCGCAAGACACAAGCGTGTGTACTATGAAGTCATTATGTCAACTCTTGTCACCATTTTACTCAGTCATATATATTCAATAATTACAGTAATTCTATTGATTCACTTCTAGATCGGCCAAAACCACCCACACAATTTTTCGCAAGCGTTATTGGAAGCACTACGGTTACCCTAGCATGGACAAGTGGATATAATGGAGGAAATCAACAAACGTTTATAATTTTATATTGGGAAATTAATTCTGAAGGCAGACGTTCTAAAAACGTTACAGAACTCAGTGAAAAAAATGATTATGAAGAGATTATACAGGATCTATTGCCTTCAACGACATATATGTTTGTTATCAATTCAAAAAATGTAGAAGGGATATCTGATGCTGCCAATAATACAGTCATTTATAAGACAAGGGGCATTTCAGGTATACATATATATATATTAAACAGATTGCCGAAAAACATGGCCGACATTGCTAAATTTATAGCATACGGGCGAAGTGCATTTTGGCTTTTATCTAGCTACTACAGATAGAAAAAAAGTCTGACAAAAAATGAGGTTCAAAAATAATAAATTTACCTAATGGCTAATCACATGATACTATAAGACGCCTTTTTATAGGTGTTTTTGGCCTTAAACGACAAATTTTACCATTTTTTTTCTGTTTATTTTTTGTTTATCATCTCGAACTTTAAGATAGAGAGACATAAACTCTAAATAGCAAACGATCAGCAATAAAGCATCTACAAAAGACGCGTCAGTCGATAACTTGTTAAATTATTGCTCTTTAATGACGATTTTTTTTCATTTTTTATTTGCATTTTTGCAAATTGTCCTGAACACTATATTATATTCAATCCAACATTTTCTACATTTGAAAATGCCTGTACCAAGTCAGGAATATGACAGTTGTTGTCCATTCGTTTGATGTGTTTTGTCATTTGATTTTGCCATTTGATTAGGGACTTTAAGATTGAATTTTCCTCGGCGTTCAGTATTTTTGTGATTTTACGTTTTTTTAGATAGAAACTTTAGATAAAAATTGTCAGCAACGATCGGTCAGAATGCGGATGTTAAATACGCGATGCCTCGCCTACAGAGTCCGTCAATATCTGCACGTTGATTACCCTTGTAACATATATATAAGGAGTCCATTGAGGCGGCTTGTTGCAATTCTAAATTCCTGTCTTTGTCCAATATACTCTCAATTTTAAGTGATAGTCTGAATTTACACGACCTTTATCCCGGACGGGCTCTAATACAGGATCTACCTATTATATGTATTGCAAATTTGTTCTGGTCATGAACATGTGTAAATTATTTGCTAGACGTTAAAAACCAACAATCAATCAATCAATTATAGTTGATATTTAAATGATCATAGGTGTAATACCACCAAATCATAGTACGCAATATCTGATTTCATAAATAAAAGGGTCGTAATAAACCCTGCATTTTATTGCAGAAACAAATATGTGGACCAAAAATATAAATCTTGTATGTTTCAAAGCGCCTTTACTTTAATTGGGGTTACTATTAAAAACTTTTGGAAACTTGAGTAGACATGATTGCTAAAACATGTTAACATCAAAAAAGGGATCAAAAACGTGATTGGTTAACTTCCGGTGATACATATAATCTTATTTGCAATAGAATGTTATGTGAGATTTCCTCTGTAGTATTTGTCACGATAAAACTGTTCTGATGTCAAGTATTTCTTTATTTGAAACACAGATAAATTCTGCAAATTTCTTTAAAAGTCAAAATTTAACAAAGTCTTGTAAGTGCAAAACAATGGTAGTATTGCTCCTCATAGAAAGAAATGTAAGAATTTCCGTGACGGAAAGAGGTATCTACTTTATTCGTTCTCTGTCCTGCGATGTAGACGGCGTTATGTAAATACACATATGTTGTTTTCAAACACAATATTTACATTTTGCATCAATATCAAAACATTTGATTGTTCTACTCCCATTAACTGTTATTTCCCCTTGCTTAAATGAGTAGTGATTTTCAACTTCGTGTTCACCGATTTGGCTCAAAGCCTAATATTGGAATCATTTCATACTTATACGTATGTCCAAATTGGAAAAAAAATGATAATAAACAATTAAGAATGGATTGGCCCGATAATATGTATCAGCATGCTGGCTGTGTTTATTGTAGTCTGGAAGTCATCTAATTGAACATTGGGGTGAACTCCTAAGTATGCAGACGGTCATATAATCATATATAAACGGCATCAATCTTCATCTATTTTACACACATTCTTGCATACTACTGCGTTTTGACAATTTGGGATGTAGCATGTACACAGGCACTTCTATAGAGTATTGAGTTTTGTTTTATTTCATGAGGTTCAAGATATTGGAATACATGAATTCCTTTATTATTGAAATTATATACACAAACAATTAGTATTGTAAAAATAATGACACTGACGAAGGCTGTTAAGCCGAAATAATTGTCAACACAATTTTCATCTTCGTATATTACTCTCTTCTAAAAGTATCGTTATGTAAATCTTTATAATTGTATATATGATAAGTACGTCAAAATAAGTGATAAATCTTCGACAGATCCATTCATTGGTTCACTAGTAAAGGTGATACGCGACTGAAAACACATGTTTTATCAATTTTTACTCTAAATTTCAACACAACAATGTTAAATATGCTGAAGGAAATTTGTGTTCTTCCTTCGCCGGGATTCGAACTCATTCTATTTGGGATAATGAGACAACACCGCCTGCACCGTGACCATCGGTCTAGACCACTCGGCCACCTAAACTGAGGTAATTATTCACCTTTCCCTGTCAGTAAAATCTAAAGTTGTAACACAGTACGTAATATATAAGGCATGCATGAAGATGGAATAGAATGCAGCTAATATATATCGCAATGGATCGTAAGATACAGTCACAGAAATGATAATAATTAAGCCCATCTAACTATTAAAGAGACAACTCTTCGACAGATGCGTTCATTGGATCACCAGTAAAGGTGATACAAGGCTGAAAACACATGTTATATTCATATTTATTCTAAATATCACCACAGCAATGTTAAATTTGCGGGGCGGATTCGAGCTCGTGCTATTAGGATATCGATCCAACAACGCCTGTACCGTGTCCATCGCTCTAGACCACTCGGCCACCTAGACTGAACTTATGATTAAGATATCGTTGGCCTAGTCATACTTTTCCTCTTCAGTAGAATCTAGAGTTGAAAAACAGTACATATTTTTGAATATATCAATCGCAATGTACAATAAGCTGCAAAAATATATTGAAAGGACATGAACAATAAGCTAAACAAATTTCTTAACAGCATCCGTTTTGACGGGGATTGCTGCACGCGTATGATGTAGCTATTTTGTTTTGCGAAATATATATATAGGACTCTGAGGTGCGATTGGGGCGTTGAAGTGCGATGATCTACGCCGAATACATCAGGTCAAGATTTATCTGTCATGAAATTTACAGACGCATCAGACAACTTATTGATGGGTTGCTGTCCCTCAATTGGTAATTTTAATGAAATTTTGCAGTTTTGGGTTATCATCTTGAATATTATAATATAAAGAGATAAACTGTAAACAGCAAAATTGTTCAGCAAAGTTGAATCTACAAATAAGTTATTGAGAGTCAAAGAGTTATTGCCCTTTAAAGTATTTTTTTTACAATTTTTTGTAAATTTTTGTAAGTTTTTACCAAATTCTTTTCCTTCAAAACTATTGAGCCAAATTAAACCAAACTCAGCCTAAATCATCCTTACGGTATCTAATTTAAAATATGTATCCAATGACCCTTCGAATCAACCAAGATGGCTGTCATGGCTAAAAATAGAACATGGGGGTAAAATTCAGTTTTTGGCTTATATCTCTAAAACTAAAGTATTTACAGCAAATCTTACATGAGATATACATATTCATCAGGTCAACATCTTTCTGCCCTGAAATTTTCAGACGCATCCGACAACCTGTTGATGGGTTGCTGCCCTAGAATTGGTAATGTTAAGGACATTTTGCAGTTTTTGGTTATTATCTTTAATATTTTCACAGATAGAGATAAACTGTAAACAGCAAAATTGTTCAGCAAAGTACGATCTACAAGTTAGTCAACTTGACCAAAATGGTCAATTGACCCTTTTACGAGTTATTGCCCTTCATAGGAAATTTTTGTCAGGAATTCTTTTCTCGTCTACAATGTTGGAGAGTGTGCTTAATGTTTGATATGCCCATAGACCAAAGAGCTACACAGGCTCTTTAGAGCCTCTAGTTAGTAGTTAGTGTATAAATATACATTCCATATTATTTTCTATGGCTGTCCTTAATTACAGTTGCTTAATAAATGAGAGATCATCCTCTGTGATTTTCTACATGTAGACATCTTCATATTTCTATATAATTCTGCATTAGCATTTTATCTTTGTGTTGTTTCTCATGAGTTCCTCGTTTATAATTAATAATATAATGAAGAAAGTATGTCTGCTGTCCCGTTAGTATTTAGAGAATAGCACGGTCTGTCGTACGTAAAACATACATTTTGGAAGATATCGAGAAAAAAATCGCTGCAGAATGTTAACTTTCCATTATCGGTGACCCGGGCTTAATAACTTTGACCCGGACATATTAACCACGTCAAATTGTTAGAACCGACGTTGATAAATTTGACCCGATCTTATCAAGGCATCTTCCAGTTTCTGATGAAACTAGGAAAACACTTCCAAAAGACGCAAAATACGCCCGATAAATCGATTATCAGGTTATCTGCATATTGATATTTTAAAATATCAGCATGCAGATATTCGGTACCTATCTACCAATCCTCCCAGTTTCCCATAGTTTTAAAAGTTAATAAGCTCCTTATCAACTTAAAAACATTAAAAACTGCTTTAACAAAGACATTGACAAGAAAAGCTTTGCAAATGTATTTGGTGTAGACCATCGCACTTCGGCGTAGTTATCCTCAAGATAGCGTCACAATGCCACCATCGTACTTCATCGTGATCAAAAAACGTACTTCAGCGTCAAACCATCGCACCTCAGCGTGACCATCGCGGTTCGGAGTACCATCGCGGTTCCTAGTTCTACATGAGTTTAGCTAAGATGTTTAATTGAATGATTGAAATCGCAAATAAATAAATTTTGAGAATTTTTTTTAACGAATTTCATTATGCGATGATGACCTTAGTTGCTTCGTGTTTTAGTGGTCTTTGATTCTCAGATACAACAAGGTCTGACTTAGACGTTACGCACAGTGTTTGGTTTAGTAATGGTAACGTTACTCGACGTAGTTTTCAATTATTTCAACCGACTTCTGTACAAAACGTCAAACCTTTACACTATTTTTAATACAGCTGGCATTTTGATGTTTAACTACTTATTTAAAAAAAAAATGTAAACATGACTGATTATATATTTTTGACAAATACACTTTATTTCCTCATAATCTTAACTTATTGAAAGTATATATTTCAAATATTTGTCACTGCCCAAGCATGTCAATTGATGCAAAATGCATATCCACTATGATGCTCCGGATTCCGTCATCACTAGTAATTAAGTCTAGGCATATATGTAGGACTCTGAACCGCGATGGTACTCCGAACTGCGATGGTCACGCTGAAGTGCGATGGTCGACGCTGAGGTGCGTTGGTTAACACGCTGATGTGCGTTGGTTAACACGCTGAAGTGCGATGGTGACATTGTGACGCTAACTGTGACGTGTATAATTCTTTTCTATAGCTAAATATGATAGTCTGAAGTTAGATTAGAACTCCATGTGGCGGTGTAGTAGTTTGCTTGCTAGCCTCGCATTTGAATGATCGGGTTTTATTTCTGGTCAGGTCAAACCAAATACTTTAATTTTTAATTTGCTCATTATCCGCTTAGTATCCGGTATGGAGTCAAAAAACAGACTTGATATTGAGAACTCAAGTGTGATAAAAAAAAAAACGGGTTCAGCGCGGCGGTCTATAGTAATAACTAAACAGGGTTCCATCTAATTTTATCAAATAACTAGTAACTTTTTGTCACGTTTTAACTATAAGAAATTGCTCACAACACACATTCATTCATTTATCTGAAATTATAACAGTTTTTAAGAAAAAAACACCTAGTATATTTATGCTTGTCTTAAAGTGAGAAGCGACGCGTGTTCTGTCAAAAGCTTGAGTATTAGCTGCTTCTCCTCTAAGCAACAGTAATTTAAAAGTACACCAATTACATGTAGGACCATTCGGGCTATTTTGACCTAACCCGTTTCAGGAGAATAAGACTGTCCAGACACAATCATGTGATGTATACTTGAAGAAAGAAGTCAAAAGTATTATTAAGATCACGACGTTTTACTTGTTGTACAAAACAATTGCGGCATACATTTGTAATGTTTTGAACTTTCGAACTGGTTAGTCCGTCTTCAGACTAAGACCTCTTTTAGCCGCCTTGTTACCCATGGTTTGCTGCCTGACTCAATTAGATTTACACGTTTTGGTTACCTCCATCTCAAATGTTCCGGTCTAGCATGGTGTGTTTCATTCTGTTTCCTTTCCTGTGTACGAATGAAACTTTTATCTACTGTTACAAATCTTATTCTTCTGCCTGCGAATCCATTTTGTTTTTAGTAATTTTGTATGTGAAAACGTCACAATATCCAAATGTCACGCCAAACCATCGTACTTCAGCGAAAGGACCATCGCACTTCGGCGCAGACCATCGCACTTCAGTTATACTACATATATATTGCGTGGAAACAGACATTACCAAAGCTGTTTAGTGCTTTAAGAGTATAAATGTTATCACCCCGCCTTCAACTGTAGTTTTCGAGCTGCAATTAGCAAATAGTTTTAGGGTCTTTTTATCCGTGCTATCAACATCCCAAATATGTGTCTTTCAAGAAGATTGTAATGAAAAATAATCCTTGTTCGGGTCAACGGCAGCAACAGCTACTATATATCCTCTCTTTGCTTGATCTATGAAAACGGCAGTTTGGAATTGTTCATTTTATTTTAAATTAAAATGTGATCTACAGTTCTTGAATAAGAATGAGTATTTTTCACATGCGTCTGTTTGTCGAATGCGTGGAAATGACTGTTAGTGTATACAACAAACATTCGTACTAGCAGAAATATATCTGTTACTAGGTTCCAAAGTCGAAAGGTTCGGTATTATAGAAAATTTATTATTTATCAAAAACTTCGACGGCTTTAAGATCAGCACATGGTTTACAAAACTTTGATGGAAGTCAAATTTTCTTATTGATTTGTTACCTTGTAAAAGCAATTATTAAGAATTATCTCCAAAAAATATATCATTAAACAGAACGTGTCAAATGCTAAAGACACAAAAATGATAAACTTTCAGTCAATGGAATATAAAATTATATATATTACGTTACATTGACGTTCCGTGCAAGAAACGTTCAATTTGGACGTGATAACATTTTGGGGAGACACGGACAACTTGATGGAAATTGATGAAAAATTTAGCGTTTCCTTAACATTGAAGGCTAAAACAAATCTTTAAAAAAAATCACATTTCAGTAGTAACATTTGTTTTCATAGTTCATTTGTCTGTCACATATTTAAAATACCCTAAATTATCATGGTACTGCAAAATCTTGAACAATGGATCTATGGTAACATTTAAGGGAGACACGGAAAATACTGAAAAAAAATAAAATGAGAGAAGCTGTGTTAGAAATAAAAATGTGTTCGTAAAATTCAATAAAATCACATTTTAATGTAGAGGTGGCGAACCTTTTCTACAATTTATGTGAAAATATTGCAATATTGAAGTGCTTCCTTTCATTTTTGTATACTCGAACTTTCTATCTTACAGCTCTATGGAATTTCGAAAATGGTCGCTAGATTGCGAACTGCATAATTGATATTAATCGTGACCGTCTCACACCATGAATATGATCATATTATATTCCACCTGTACAGATTTCATCCAAATTCATTCAGTAGTTCGTATTTTTTCTTCGTTTATATTTGGATGGTTAGTTATTGTTGTTACGTCTTACACGGCAAAAATGGCATTATGAACACGGAATCATTGCTTAATTATGTAATAATACATAACATTAAATTTATTAAAATCAGGTTTTATCTAATTTCGATTCAATGATGAATCAAGACAAGTAATTATTTAATAATACGCAGAATTGATTTGTTTTTGTCCTACTTATGCATCAAGAAATGGTCAAATGAAACATAGACCGAATACCGTGCGTAACGTCTTACTGCATTTTTTATCGAATGTGTATTCGAGTAACGAGAGATTTTTGAATAGCAGGTGACGCTTACCTATTCAACGCAATCGGTCTTTTGAAGTTCATACAATTACACCCTTTTACACGCTGAACTCTATCACTGTCTTTTAAATATATTAATGCGATTCGAACAATGTCGAACATTGGTTGAGAAAATACAGTTGTCTCTAACTTCTTTTAACGCTGTTTCGAAAGTAAATGAAACATGCACAAGTGTTTTGAACATTTTGATTTCAATATGCTTTTTTGTTTTATGAGAGAAGTTTGAAAACAAATACTCTTGAAAATTTATATTTATATAACTGGGTCATTGCATTAGTTTTGGGATGAAGTTTGATTAACAAACCAGATGTACAGAGTCACTTTTCGATTACCAAGCTTTCAGTAAAATTAGTTTGCAGCGTAATTCATTAATTCGTCTTTGAGTGTTCCTGATAAAGGTAAATCCGGAAAAGCGCTTCAGTCGTATGAAATGTATAACTACTTTAAACAAAAAATTCCATAACATGCTTCATTTTGTTTTACAGAAACATCAACTTCTATTCTTGGCCCAATTAGTGGTTTCTTTGGTGGAACTATCTTTGTCATACTTATCATTGTGATAGTTGTTTTCGTCATGAGGAAGAAATCGGGTACGTACGAGTTAGCAATGTAAATTGCATAAAATTATTTGATTCTATGGAACTTATTTATTAAAAACATCTAGCGAATTGAAAATTATTGTTGATACTGCCATACCGGGGATATGCTCTTCGGTGTGAGCCAAGGCTCCATGTTGAAACCCGTACCTTGACCTATAATGGTTTACTTTTATAAATTATTATTTGGATGGAGAGTTGTCTCATTGGCACTCATACCACATCTTCCTATATCTATAGTTTGACCATCCAGAATTATAACTTCTTTTGTCTACTTACATCACATTTGACTACCATGGTTATTGATGACATTCAAAGACGGCATGCAAACGTGCAACTTTGGAAGCCTGGAACACAAAAGGAGGTTTAAGTATATCACTGGTGTAAATTAAAGTTGTTTTTTCGATTCATTAAAAAGTTTTGTTTCCTGTTCAACTGTTAAATATATTCTTATCTATTTGAACAAATATCAATCTGACACACACTTATATTAATTTGTTTTTGCCGAACGCCAACTTCATGTTCATGTATGAGGTGTTTACGTGGGTTTCTTTTTAACAAAATCAGTAATAATGGTATTCATAACTTTTAAAAAATGAAATATGCAAATTTTTTAAACAGATTGATTATGCGTGAACCAATGCAAAATTCATAACTGTACGAAAAACCAAATCTTTCTCACAATATCCCATACAAGTTCATGAGTTACTGCACATTTATCTGTGTGTTATGATTGCTGCTAATAATGGATTAAATGCAGTGGTTTAAGTGTATATGTCCATAATGACATAGCAACAAATTAAAGTTCTGTAGGTTGAGGAGTTGTCAACAGTTCAGAAAACAACAAGTATGATGTTTTCTGAACTGTTGAAATAGGAGATACATATCAGGCATAATGGGAGCTTTCCGGTTAACTTAGGTAAAAACTGATAAACTTAGTTGTTGACATATTTTATTTGGAAATTTTTTGAATACAAAAACATGAAACATATTGAAATGAGCCAACTTTAAAGAAATAGATATAAGAAGATTTAGTATGAGTGCCAATGAGACAACTCTCCATTCAATTCACAATTTAAAGAAAGCATGGTTAGCTTCAAATGCATAATAACTGTTTCATATTGTAGCGTTATTAACTTGCGTTGTTTGTAACGGTCCTGTCATGATTCAAACTTAACTGTGCAGTTGGTGGGGAATCTTGAACAGGATCAATACAGGAACACTCAGTTCATTGCACTTTTATTATACGATTCTACTTCTTCGTTCAAACTAAGAAACTTACCGAAAAAAGGGCACAGGTATTCATATTTAAACTTGTCTTTTCGCAGTCATGGCGCATTTTTCTTAACATAGATGAAATTTCGGATTTCTTGTTCAGGTGCTTAATCTATGCTTATCAAGTTCCATTCATTAATCTAACACATACAAAGTACCTGGGAATAAAAAGAAATCAGTCATGTTAACCATTGTTTAACTTTAATCGTCTACGTTGTACGGACTGATCAACGGAAATGAAACAATGATAAAAAATCGAAACTTTTTGTCGTAAAGACTGTTGATTTTTTCTGTTCTAATCGTTACAAACAAGGAATTTCAATTACACTTTATTTTTTATAGTTATTTTTAATTACAAACTATGAAGAAAATGTATCGTATACATAATTCCCTTGTCACCATCTTATAATCTTTCAATCAGTTTAATTGAAGTATGAGGGGGAGGGTTGAGATCTCACAAAACATGTTTAACCCCACCACATGTTTGCGCCTGTCCCAAGTAAGGAGCCCCTGGCCTTTGTTAGTCTTGTACGATTTTTAATTTTAGTTTCTTTTATATATTTAAAAAAAATCGATCCTATATAAATGACAGTATTCGTAAATTTTATAAGTTATAAATATTGTTTTAACACATGTTTATTAATAAAATAGTGCTGACATGTATTTAATTTATAGGAAAGACGATTAGAAAAACTGATAGGTGAGTTTTAACCAGTATTTTTTACAATATAAGGAAGCCAAAATGGTAACGCTTAGTTTTGTTTCAATACCTTTTGATTTTGCATGTCCCTTTGTTATATATCGCCTCTCTGTTACATGGAACGATATAATAATACAATAATGACGTAAAACTTTGTAAATCTTCCAACGGGAAGATCCTAGACATATTTACAATTTGAAATTGTTTCAATTCTTCCCTTGTAATAAACATTATTCCATCGCAGAAATCAAGACCAGGACAAGTGTCAAAAAAATTTATCCTACGTACAAAGGTACTGCTTTAATGTTGCTAAATGTCATTTGGAAAGTTGACAATTAAAATAGTGTAGTCAAAGATAAATCCTTCACCGAATCTTTTATTTCAACTGCTGATTTTATTAAAATCGTTAAACATATGTACTAGCATATATAAATTTCAATTACAGTTTTTGTAAGTTTTATATGTCCTGAGTTAAATACCAATATTTTTTTATGATTTCAACCTGTAAGTTATCATGACTTGATGTTTTGCTCGTTTAATAAGAAACATATTCGTAAAAAAGTATCATTTCAAATTTTGGCTTAAGATTATTATGTTAAGTAAAATAAACAGCCACTCTAGATTCATAGTTTTTAGGATTATTTTGTATTAATTTATAAATAAACGAACAAAATCATGCAGTGAAATATCATTATGAACGGACAAGCCCTGTATGGGCCCGTGAACAATACTACTAAGCACACCAAAATTTGTATTCACAGAAAAAGGGTCATCTGACTCAAAATATAGTCACGTAGTAAATTTAAGTTTTGTAGTGAGATAAAAATTAAAGATGACACTCCGTACATTTTACGAACACCATCACGACGTTTCTGTGTCTTAACTAACTAACGACATTTCACCACGTTTTAGATTGTGGCTTACCATCTACGTCGTCTGGTCTGCTATGCTAGCTATCATTGCCGTAAACATTTTGCCAGCAACGCTACCTGTATAACTTAGTTTGTAACTCGACACCATGGTTGACAGACACATAGTAGAATATTTACCAATAATATAGTCACCAGTGTATAATTAACCATTTATAAATACTGTTATTTATGGGACTAACACACCCGTCCGGTAAAAATAATATCCATTTGAAGAACAATTTACACATCTCCCAAAACTGCAGACATTATTCATCTCATTTTTCCGATGTTTGTTTTCCACAGGAAAGAATAGTTTTACATAGGTAGTTGTCACATCGTGTAAAAACCGTAATATTGTAAATTTACGTTTTTTACTTAATGGATACTATTATAGTTTTAATTAATGGGTGTTTTCGTAAAGGCCTTGTTATAGGTCTGTTGTAATGACTGAGGGTGTCTGCAATCGCACGAGGCAACGCCGAGGGCATTACAGCCTCCAGGGCCATTATCACTGACCGAGGACAAATGACAGGGTCTATTGAAAACACTAATTTGTTTTACACTTTTATTAACCATACCGTCAATGTGTAATGTTTAACCAAGCCAGATCAGTTTTTGTGGTAAATTGACTATATATTTATTTAATTATACTAAATGCAATGTTAAAAAGAAACTTTTAAAGTGATGTGATGGAATAACATGTAAATGCAAATATAGCTGACGTGTATTGTTGCCTTTTTCAACGCAATTTATGGCATACAAAATACAATATTTTTTAATTCATTCAGGATTTTAAATCTCAGAATTAAATAAATTGATACACACCATTGAATGTATTATGTAATTATTTACTTGACAACTGGGTCAAATAAGATGATAAGTCATGATTTTAGGAGCTTTCAATTTCTTGATGTTTCTTTAAGTTTTCCCCAGAAATGTATTTGAATTGATAACACTGAAAATCAATAATGGCCCTGCTTTTTTCATATTGGCCCTGTTTTTTCATAATAACCTTATTTTTCATAATGGCCCTGTATTAATATCCTGTTAGTCTATTATGGACCGGTTTTGCTTTTATTAATAAAGGAGCATATTCATACACAGTGCACTAAACTGGTTAATAATCTAGCGTCAAGAATTAATTTTTTCTTCTGCTGCACACGAATTTATATATTTCATACTGTAAATCTAGGAACAACTTGACATTGACCTCAAGAGAAGCGGGTGACGAAGGTAACTTTCTTTATATTTTTCACAGCAATTTTGTAGTTAGAGAAATTTTTCGAAATGCTATGTGTTTATACTCAATTCATATTATGTCATTGTTTTAATTCCCTCCTCTCAACCTATTCTAATTTATAAAAATTGTCTCGTTGATTTAAATTGGTAGAATGGAAACACCTTCATTTTATCTCTGGTAGATAGTTGTCTCATCGGCCATTATACGACATCATTATTTTCTATTAATACTTCAATACGAAAATCACAGTACCATTTTAAATCAGCAATAGAATTTTAAAATATATAATCCTGTACAGAAATGAATAAATTGTATAATCACTTCGTACATTATATAACAGAACACTTCCGATACAGTTTCATAAATGCATGTTTAATCAAATTATTATAATAATTCAGTTTAAGAAACTAGATTTCTTGTTTTGTTATATTAATTCTTATCAACACCTTTCTTTATATTGCGAATACTATTAATGCCTATCATTTTGTTTCAAATGGCATGTAGCTCTGCTTATAAAATATGGAAATATTTGCTATTTTCTTACTAGTTACTTAATTATTTAAACATTTGATTCTTAATTATAATTTATCTATGTTGGTATGAATTATATATTTCTTTTGTTCTTGTGTTGAATATCTTAGATTTAGTCCCTTATTATAAAATCTTTTGAGAAGTGTTTTTCATTTTGTTCTTTGATGAATTGGTTAAATTTAAATATGCAGCTGAAGGACGCCTCCGGGTGCGGGAATTTCTCGCTGCATTGAAGACCTGTTGGTGACCTTCTGCTGTTGTCTGTTCTATGGTCGGGTTGTTGTCTCTTTGACACATTCCCCATTTCCATTCTCAATTTTATTTAGGATTACCAATGCATTAGTACATGTATGTTCCAGATGGTCTGAAAATCAATGAACTTTATGAATCGGCTGGTGATGACTTCAATCGATGCAAAGAACCGGGAGATGTCTATGCAGTTGTTGATAAATCCAATAGGGAAAAGTCCAATGCAAAGCAAAATACTCACGAAACTGCCCTGTATGCTGAAGTGTGTAAAAGAACAGATGCGCCAATCAAAGGTTATATTTTGATATGTTTCCATTATGAATAAGGTTCTGTATTACGAATGAAGAAAAATGTGAACGTCAACTATTGCCTACCATTGTGAAGACCAAGTACAGTCCTGAAGCTGGTGAAATAATCTATAAAAAATTACTTATCTTTTGAGTAATACTAAGCAGCGTTTCAGAAAAATAAGGTTAAAGTTTATTTCTATCTGACAGAAAAACAAGTACATTTATACTTCAGAAAAGGTATAAAAAGTACTCTCGTAATTTAAACATATCGGGGACATTATTTGGTTCCATATATTAAAGCTGTTGTACAAAGTGGTTGTCATGGAATTAATTTTATGTGTACATCCATTCTGGCTGATTGTATTCACTTGAAGCAGAATCCATTCAAAATTTGAACAATGACAAACATAAATTTTACAGTTTCCGGTCGCGGTTTATTTAATATTTCCTCTCACTCAAGATCAATAACCCACAGTTCAGCAAGTAATGCATCTTATATATTGACGTAAGCTCGAAGTACTACTTAAACCACTTCATACTTATTTTTTTTTCTAATTCGTTTTGAATCCACATAAGGAATTGCCTGTACCAAGTTGAAAATAGGACAGTTGTCATTCATTTATTTGATGTGTTTGAGCTTTTGATTTTGCTATTTGATAAGGGACTTTCCGTTTTGTGTTTTCCTTGGAATTCGTAAATTTTGCTCTTTTACTTTTTTGTGTAATTGTCTGATATTGGTGCTGAATTTAGAAGTATTAAAAGCAGACGATTCACAATCGGGAATTTCCAAATTTTAGGTACTGTCATACCAACTGTGCAACCGTATGATCTATACACATACTAAATTTGATGGTTGATCTTTTTTGTATAGACTTCTTGATATACAAAACAATATAAAACTCTTTAAAATAATTCGCAGCTTCCAAAAAGTCATGCCGGTCTTCTTCAGCGGGACTTTATTTATGGTATAGTAACACCGCTTACCTTCTTATGAACAAAGTCATCGTTCCATATAAGTCAAATAATGCATAATGATATGGTTGTCTTGTCGTTGAACACACCTTATGTTGTCTGAATTGCCAAAAGAAATACGTCCTTATTTATGGCATAAACTCGTTCTGACGAAAAGAAAGTTAAAAACAGGAGATGCGAAAGATACTAATTTAAAGAGATATTCAAACTCAGAAGTCAAAACTTAATTGAAAATATCATAGACAAAAAGAAAAACGACCAAACGACAAACATGAGTTACATTAACAGAAATAAAGACTGATCAACAAGAAATATCGACAATTGAAAAAAGAAGAAATAAGAATCATTGTTTTTAAAGTCAAAGTAACTATTATGATTTAAATTTAAATTCAAACTCATTTTAACTTAAATGATTTTTGTATGATACAGCAACAGTAGGCTGTAATCCTGAAAGCAAGAAGAAACTGAAAACAAACAAAAAGGGAAAAACCAAAATCGAAATAAAAAGAAATGACGATGTTTACGAAAATGTAGGTGAAGTAAACCACAGACAGGTAGCTTCACAAGTAAGTTTAATTAATATACGCCGCACATTTGAATACATTCCCTTTTCAGAAACAATGAGGCTTTGAAATGTCTATCATCTCTTCGGGATAAGTTTGTTGTTATTCCTGCGGACAGAGCTTCAAATAATAGTGTCTTTGTATGTAAATCGTATTACTACGAATGTCTTGTAAAAGAGTAAGGAATAAATGAGCACCCAGGTAATCCCACATACAAAGACATATCATTTGACAAGGATGAGATTTTGGCGAATCATAAGTCCTTCATGGCTTCAATGAACATTACATTGAACAACAAATCGGAGGACTTACCTTGTTTGTATTGGATACCTAAGCTTCACAAAATTCCGTACAAACAAAATTACATAGCCGGTTCATCTGCATGTTCCACTAAAGAATTTTCCATTAGATTGACTAAAATTCTGTGCGCAGTGTTTAGTTTAGTTTATATATATAGTTTAATCATATTTCATTTGCTTAAATATATAAATAGGATGAGACACAAGTTAATCAAACTTGTATAATTATAGTCTTCTCCCATGAACAATTTATAACCATAGAATACTTACAAAGCATGGATGCAAACAATACATAATATATATATATATATATATATATATACATTTGAATTGTGGAAAGATGATGGGTGATGATGTGTAGTGAATGGTTGTACACAATATGCATGTATTTGCACTTTAATATGTTATATTACACAATAAGAAACCTCTTAGACTCTTTAATAAATTCATATACAGTCATTCTTTACAATTCTTTCATTTTCAACATTAGTTAAAGACGTAGTGAAAGAGGGTCTTCAGAAATAATGTAAAACTGTTTACTCGCGTAGTGGTATTAACCATATGTGGATTCTTAAAAATTCTAATGAAATTCTGGATAATTTAAATCTCGATCTTTTTCTGAAATACGTTCAATCAAAACTTTTGATTTTTCAATCCTGTATACCACCATTCCCCATGTGAAACTGAAAAATCACCTAAAAGAATTAATCCACAATGCCTTTCAACATAAAAATGGTAGCATACGCTATAAATTTATTACTTTGGGGTACCATAAGGCATATTTTGTTAACAGTGAACAAAAGGGTAAATGATGCTACACAGAGGGACAAGTGATCAGTATGCTGGAGCTTCTTATCGACAATATATTTGTTGAATTTGGATGTAGAAATTTCAACTAATTGTCGGCTTTCCTATAGGAACGAACTGTGCGCCTCTCCTCGCCGATCTCTTCCTTTTTTCATTGAATTAAAGTTCCTTTAGACACTTGTCAAAAACAAGAAGATCAAAGAAGACAGTTTATTTAATTTCACTTTAAGATATATTGATGATGTTCTTTCCATTAACAATCCCCACTTTTCTGATTTGGATTCCATTAATATATCCCCTAGACCTAGAAATTAAAGAAACAACAAACACGGCTTTCTCCTCCTCATTTTCAGACTCATACCTCGAATTTGACATACACAATCATCTCAGTACCAGAATCTATGACAAACGAGACGATTTTAATTTAGAAATTATCGATTTCCCTCACCTTAGTAGCAATATACCAACTTCACCGGCATATGGGATATACATTTCCCAACTTATTCGGTATTGAAGAGCTTGCAGCTTCTACTCAGACTTTGTAAATCGTCAGCAGTGTCTGAGCAGAAAGTTGATGAACCAGGGGTATGTCAAAGAACGTCTCGTCTCATTGGAAGGTACCAAGACCTTGTTAATAAATATTGCGTATCAGCATCACACATAATACAAGACTGTCTTGAAGTAAAGATTTTGCGTACTGACGTTGTTTATCATCTTAATACGTGTTATAGTGTTTTTTATTTGTCTTTATTAATATTACTTTTACTGTTTGTTCTGTTTTTGGTGATATCCATTTGACGAGGCTCTATACTAAAACATCCCGTCATTGTGTTGTTTGTATTATCTTTCATATTTGCCTTGTCCGTGTGACTTTTAATGTCTCTTTGAAACATATGACGTTGCTCTGTACTTAAACATTCCGCTATTGTGTTATTGTTCTATTATAAATTTTGTAGTCTGGTCTTTCATATTTGCTCATGCTTTGCCTATATGCCCTTTTGTGTTTCTTTTATACATAATGACGTGGCTCTTTTTTTAGAAGAAAAACACAATAAGCATAGACAAGCGGCAAGAAGGGAATGTAAACTTGTAATTTGCATTCTGCAAAGGATATGCCTAAACAACTAAATAAAATTGAGAATGGAAATGGGGAATGTGTCAAAGAGACAACAACCCGACCATAGAGCAGACAACAGCCGAAGGCCACCAATGGGTCTTCAATGCAGCGAGAAACTCCCGCACCCGGAGGCGTCCTTCAGCTGGCCCTTAAACAAATATGTATACTATTTCAGTGATAATGGACGTCATACTAAACTCCACATTATACACAAGAAACTAAAATTAAAAATGATACAAGACTAACAAAGGCCAGAGGCTCCTGACTTGGGACAGGCGCAAAAATGCGGCGGGGTTAAACATGTTTTTGAGATCTCAACCCTCCCCCTATACCTCTAGCCAATGTAGAAAAAACAAACGTACAACAGTACGCACAGTAAATCTCAGTTTAAGAAAAGTCTGAGTCCGATGTCAGAATAGGAAACAAAAGAAAATAAACAAAATGACAATAATACATAAATAACAACAGACTACTAGCAGTTACTGACATGCCAGCTCCAGACCTCAATTAAACTGATTGAAAGATTATGTTTTCATCATATGAAGACTATAATATTTTCATACTTTGAACGAAAAAATTATTTTATATCTCTACCTGTGTGACGTTTACATTCTGACGTCAAACGCACGATTCTACGTTTGAGTCAATGTTGGTCTAGCCATTTGGCCCCAGTACTTAAAGATTTTTATAGGTGGACTGGCATACATAGATAAAATTCAAAGATGGGAAAGCGATGGGTGACGTTGTTAGGTTTGATATATGCTTTTTTGTGCTTCTTTGTTAAATATTTTTTGGTTTTTGTTGTGTTTCACGTCCTGTCAATTTTGTTTGCACTATTCTCGTATGCATGTGGCGTGGCTCTGTGCTTATAAAGCCAGTTATTGTGCTATTGTAAATCTTGTTTGTTGCTTTGTGCTTTGTTTATATGCCTTTTTATGTTTCTTCGTTACATATATGACGTAGCTCTGTACTTATACGTCCCGTCATTGTGTTATTGTACTATGGCAAATTTATACCATTTTGTGCTTCTTTGTTACATATTTGTTTATTTTTGTAGTGATTAAGATTATAAAACATTGCTGACTGCTGTATATTTGACATTTTTACCTGTTATGTCTTTGTTTTGTTCACGCATCGTTGTCAATATGATGGAATTTGATGCGACTGTCATACAAGTGAGAGGTTTAGCTAGCTTTAAAACCAGGTTCATTCCACCATTTTCTACATAAAGAATGCCTGTACCAAGTCAGGAATATGACAGTTGTTATCCATTTGTTTGATGTGTTTGAGCTTTTGATTTTGCCATTTAATTATGGACTTTCTGTTATGAATTTTCCTCGGAGTTCAGTATTTTTGTGATTTTACTTTTTGAATTATTTGAGAATTAACCAATCAATTGCTGTTTAAGCTATGATGTATATAAAATTTATATCATATGTGAATACTTACGATCAGATTTTGAAAAGAAATATGCATAAATGAAATATTAAGATTTTTGAAATAATGATCAATAAAGCCGTTCAGTTTTGTCATTATGGATTGCAAATACATCATATTTGAATTTATCTTGATCATCATGTCTTGTTTCTGTTTACAATAGAACAAGAACAAAGATGGTCTTGTATACGCCGACCTTGTTTTCAACGATGATGGAGGGAGAAGATTTGTAATTCGGGGTATAGAACATAAAACAGATTATGCTGATGTAGATTTGAGTATCAAGGTAGACCCACTGCCAAGTGATGAAAGCGACGAGGAGGATGAACAAGTAAATAAAAGTTCCGAGGAGTTCAGGAACCAAAATAATTTGTGAATATATGTCGGTTATGAAAACAATCCTCAATCTGTTTTTTATGTAATTGTATTGGCTAATTATAATATATTTTCTAATGAAAGAAACAAGACTTGCAAACTATTTAGTTTAAGTTATTAAACAATTTAAGAATTAAAAAAAAACATAAATTAAATTTATTCAGCTAAAGGATAGATTATTTTTTATAGAATTTTGTTGACAACAAGAAAGACGATACTTTTAAACCTTTATTGGTAAAGAACGATAATGTTTAATAACATAAAATCAAAAAAAAAAATTGGACAAACAGATTATGAACCCCTATCCCATACAATACAATGCACTTCTCCGTTCTATATACTAGTTCAATAAAAACTAAAAATAATTTAATTAACACAAAGGGACGCATATCTTATCAAACTCAATGAAGCTCGAAGTTAAAAAAATAGCTCTGGGGAGCTTGTTTGACGCTGTGTCATTGATGTGGTTGTACATGTAGAGAGCATTTAGAGTTTGGGTAAATAATTCAATTGCACGGAATGAGAGTGCTCCATTTTTTTATCGGCATCATAGTATTTTTCTATTACATTCATCAAAGAGCAAACTATTTTAAAGATCCTTGTTCAGAACGTTCAAAATTTTTCCTTACTATAATTATCTGATAGTGTTGGTAATTTGCTTGTTTTTTGTGTATTTTAACCAGTATTCAACTAGACGTATTAACAGTTTAACCAATGTATTTTAAATCACCAATGACCATAACTAAGCACTATATATACGGTATTTGGTTTACTGATATGGCATATTTTGCGTTTATTTTGGATCTTTTTGACACTGAGAAAACGGTTCTCAGCTGTCTCTACATTATTGCATCCATTTCAAAACAAATAGCATGTTGTGTCACTACACATTTTTACTGATAATTTATCGGAAATGTTTCAAATATTTGTTAAGTGTCTCCTTAGATTATTGCGTTGTCACTAACTGTACATTAATGTTTTTTCTTTGACAAACATTGAGACATGAACCATGTCCATTGATATTGGACCAGAGATTGGACCTTCCAAACAGAATATAATCGTCCACAATATTTTTAAGAACGATCCAAAAATAAATTCTTAGGGAAGCCGATGAAATAAAGGTTATTTAAGGTGTGCGGCGACGATAGATCCGATATGTTACTCATGGTATCTCTGGGAAATGTCATTAATAATTCACACTTCTAACACTATATTATTTGTAAACGGGTTCGTATTCATAAATATATCATATATCTACTATATCGAATTATCCAATTTAATAAACATCTAGATCACTAGAGAAACAGACAATTTAGAATACTAGTAATGCAGTTCTGCAAATGTAACAGAAAATTAAAACATGCCGGGAAGAAATGACACACTATCTTATAAAAGCGTTTATCTCGGTGTTGAAAGATAAACGATACTTTCATGACTGTTGTAGTTACGTCAACATTAACATAACGGCATAAAACCATACAGTAACGTGACAAATAACAACGTCCAAAGCTGTTCATATGGATGAAAGCGTTCGACCAAGTCTAAAATATAATAGTTTTTTTTTCCCAAATTTTCCGTTTGTTGAGGTAGTCTTTAAATTTGTTTAAATCTGTCAGTTTTTGTGGAAGTCAAACTTTGAATTTATCATTGAATTTTACTGAATCTATATTATAAATATAATTATAATATCTTAAATATTGTGCCAAAATCTTAAATAAGTTGACACTAATATACATTCTAACTTACTTACTATTGTAAATTTTCTTATTCAATAATTTAGTGCATGTAAATGTCTTTATTAGCTAACAATATTAGTTTTTGCATAGAGCAAGTTATGTTTTGAACGACTGTTTGTGACTTCAATGGTGATTTTTGTCGAGCCTTCGACTTTTGTCGAAAAAGCGAGACATAGCGATCCTACATTCCGTCGTCGGCGTCGTCGTAGTCGGCGGCGGTAGTGTCCACAAATATTCACTCCGTGGTTAAAATTTTGAAATTTTAATAACTTTCTTAAACTATCCCGAATTTCTACCAAACTTGGACAGAAGCTTGTTTATGATCATAAGATAGTATTAAGAAATAAATTTTGTAAAACAAATTCCTGTTTAACCGTATTTTACTTATAAATGGACTAAGTTTTTCTGACAGTTAACATAACATTCACTCTGTGGTTAAAGTTTTTAGAATTTGAATAAATTTCTTAAACTATCCTGGAGTTCTACCATACTTGGACAGAAGCTTGTTTATGGTCATAAGATAGAACATGTATCCAAAAGTAAATTTTGCAAAAAGAAAATCCTGTTTATCCGTATTTTACTTATAAATGGACTTAGTTTTTCTGTCAGCTAACATAACATTCACTCTGAGGTTAAAGTTTTTAAAACTTTCTTAAACTATCCTGGATTTCTACCAAACTTGGACAAAAGCTTGTTTATGATCAGAAGATGGTAACCAGAAGTAAATTTGCATACCAAATACTAATTTACAAAATATATAAATTTGAAAAAATATATTTCCTGTTTTTCCGTATATAACTTATAAAGTAGGCGAGACACTGGGTTCCGCGGAACCCTTACAATTTTTTTAAATAAGTGTAGTAATATTTATTGTATCAATGAATAAATTGATGCAACAAAATCCAAAGAATTTAAAGGCAATATGGAATGGCCTTAATTGACCTTTTCGGTATATATTTGTATTGGTTCAAAATTCATTGTTTTAAAATAATTGAAAAAATATTGTCATTCAGAATGGAACCAACTATTTTTCACATTTTGCTGTTATTTTTTTTTTTTTTTTTTTTTATAAAGGTGTAATACCACCATTGATTTCCCCCTATTTGTCTTTGTTAAATTTGCACTTTTCAAAAAATTGTGCAGAATTTATCTTTGTTTCAAATAAAGAAATACTTGGCATGAGTGAAGTTTTATCCTGTCCAGTACTATAGAAAAAATTTCACATAACATTTCATTGCATATAAGAAAATAACCATCACTGGAAGTTAACCAATCAAATTTCTCCCCTTATTTAATCTGTGTACAAGATTTAGTAACCATGTAACCTCAAGTTTACAAAATATTCTATAGAAACCCCAAATAAAAAAATAATGGTGCTTTGAAATACTAAAGACATATGTTTATGACAAAGAAATGTTTTACTGCAATAAAATGTAGGATTAATAACCTACAACTGTCAAATGCAAGGGAATATTTTTTTCGACCTATTTTCGTATACCGATGTGATGTACCATGATTCGGTGGTATTACACCTATATATTCTGAAACAGAGGAGGGGCGACAACTATGTGCTGTGTGAAAAAATTGTCGAGTCACATGGTACGATTTCAGCTTCCGTATGACAATTTAATTGTTTTCAAATGTACTCTATTGGATTCATTAAACATTTAGCAAGTTTTCTCATAGACAGATTGAATGATCACCAAGAATGACTTTTACATAAAATATCTAAAAATGTTTGCTTGTTGTTGGTAAATTATATGATTAAGGATTATATCTATAATAGCGGGAGTTGGTATTCGATCTCTGTTAAAATACATGGCACAGTGTTTTGTTAATATTTCGTTAATTCGACATTGATAACAGTTAAAGAATATTGTGGATGGAATCGAGTTCTATGAATTAAACAAACATCAGAAAAATATGATGGAAGCATTACAATTTAATATTTCAACGCCGAAAAAGAGTATATGAATGAGGACTACAAAATTGAGTATAAAACCATTATATATTTATTTATATAAATGATCACATTAAAAGTATGTTGAATAATTTGTTTGCAATACAAAAACAAATCCTTAGTACAAGAGATCATAGTGTGTTTAGGTACAAGTTTCACTGTTCAGCGCCGTTTTAAATGTACATTAGATTTACGAAACACTACATATTATGAGGAACAATCACAGAAATAATTGTCACCAGTATAACAATTCAGTAATGTGCACAGTGTTAATAGTAACACGGAAAAAGTATCAAACAATAAGTTCCACTTGTACGGTACTGTATTTTTTTAAACACCAAAATAGTGTGCTATTGTAATTTACATACTAGTGCAGGACTGTGATTGACTGTGTGTGTCGTCTCCTAAATTCCAAAAATCGACAAAAGAGGGTTAATCGCATCTTCCCTGGCCACGGGTTATGATCAACTCCCCTCCTCTTCATCATTGGCAGATTAAGCCAACATTTGTGATAACAATATTGCGCCATCTATGGTTGATTAAAGTCACGCCCATTCCGAATACATTATTCTTGACTAATGGTAGCACTTGGATCTCTTCAGTGTGGAGGTGAAAACATGGTAGCGTCTAGAGTTTACAAACTTGGTGAAGCAGGACACGAAAATAAACGTTGACATTCCAACATTTGTGCAAGAAATATACACATGAACTTCTATCATATAATTATAAAAAAGAAGATGTTGTATGATTGCAAATGAGACAACTCTCCACAAGAGACCAAATGACACAGAACTTCACTGATTAATAACTATAGATCACCGCACGGCCTTCAACAATGAGTAAAGCCCATACCGCATAGTCATTTGATTAAGAACATTTAAATTGTCACTAAATAATGACATATGTTTTTTGTGGGTTTTTTTTTTTGGGGGGGGGGGGGGGTAAACTTTAAGACTTGTTGCACAATCAGCACGTGACAATTGTTTACCTACAGTTTCGACATTTACACGTGATCATGACTTTGTTATAGGCGCATTTTGATAGGATGCAGCCAGTTACGACTGCAATCAATGAAAATCATTACCTCGTGGATACGAAATTCTCGTTTAATCCGCCGAGGGTGGTGAGGAGGGGAGTATATCGTAACCATTGGAGAGCGAAGATGGGTTTATCGCGACCCTTGGATATTATGCAATGTGGCAATAATTATAGGCAGTGGCTCCGGACAAATAGTCAAAAATGTCTATTCTTCCGGCAAGCCGGACAAATAGCACGTTCACGATATTTTGCTATTTGTCCGGCCAAAAATATAATGATGAAGATATAACGTTTTTAAGGAGATAAATAAAGGCTGGGTTGTTATGAGAAATATTGTCTAACATCGTATTATGAGGGAAAAAAATCATTGAAATGAAAAGAGAAAAAAACAAACTCGGTGGCTGATTTGATCACCGATCGGACTTTTATATTATTACTTATACAGACTCAGCTCGAAGGTCTAGTTGATGCTCATAACGTATCATGCTAAAGTTCTGAATATGCATGTAAAAGTGACCAATGGAATAAACATAACATCTTCTATCGAATTGGGACTGCGATTTTTTATTGAAAATGTTCGGTGATTTTTTCCTCATAGGAATTAGAGAAAGAGGTTTGCACGTGTAACCTGCCCCAAAAGTAAGACTGTGATTAACGATAGAACAAAATTAGAAAACAATATTTATTAGATAAAACAGCTTAAAAAGGGGGGGTTACCCCAACCCTGGTATCCTATTCCCAGTCCAGGTATATCTGTAATTTCAGTGCATGTTCATATATCTCAAAGTTTGTAGAACTTATAAATAGTCCATCCAAGCATATTTGATTAAGTAATTTATCCGAATGCGTTTTGCCTCCATGGGGTAAATCACCAATTTCAGTTTGATTTTAGGCTTTATTTATATCGGTTAACATGTAAAATGCTATTGTTCTGGAGTCACTCCTATAGAAATTTGTTTTAAAGCAATCTCGTTCTCTCTGGTTTGCTTTATGACATCTTTAAATATAAATCACGAGCTCCAATTCTCAAAACGTCCATTGCATACGCGCGTTTGTTATCCGACACCTCATCCGGGACAATTTTAGCGCCACATGGCAATTTTATTGATATTGAAGATTTGCGCAACCGCAAACGGATGGCCGGACAAATAGAGATTTTTAACTATTCGTCCGGCTAGCCGGACGAATAGAAACTCCGAAAATTATATAAAGTAGACATAAAGTCAAAATAAGTTCTGCGAAACAAAACATAAATGAATCGGTTATCGGACGACACGAGACTCAGAGTGTGTTTGTTATAAAAATACACATAATAATCATCAAGGAAACAATGCTTATAATAAGCTTAGTCCCTTACAAATAGCACAGAATAATAAAATTAACTTTCTCTATTGTGTTTTAAAGTTTCCAAATACGAAAAATACAGTACCGAGCTTCTTGCCTGAAGCTAAACATGTGTGAAGATAAGAGTAAGGGTGAGTCCGATTACGAATAAAGACAAAATTTCCGAGATTACAAAAAAAAATCAAAAATATGTAGCATTACAAATATGTCAATCAAGAATAGCACTTTTTATGAAAAAAAGTATCTTCTTTTACAGAAAATGAACTCATTTGTTATATGTTTCTTTTTAGTACTTCTGGTTACCGGAAATATAGAAAATATTGAATTATCCTGTTTTATGCTATCTTACGGGACTTTTTACTTTTCTCATGCCTGTCGTTGGCGAACTGTAAGTTCCGTCTGAAATACATGTGGCTGTTCAACCGCAATAGAATATAATTTAAATATGGTTGCGTTTATACTTCAATCTTACAATACCCCGGCCAACAAAAAGTATTGAGGCTCACGAGATGCTGGAGGAGTTATTAAGACTTTTTGAACTGATTATGGTATAATTCATGATTTGTGACATTGTTAATGAAAATGGACGGCATTGAGCCAAAATCAGCTACATAAGCAGATCCATCGGTTGGAATCTTCACAAACAAATTTTTATTTTGATCATACGCCTGTAATGTTGAGTGTTTGAGTGGTAGTAAAGTCAGATATCTAGAAAACGAACTTAGATCAAGGACAGCAGGGAAAATTCAGTTGTGCTTTAAAAGTGATGCATTCTGGAAAATTTATTTCTTTAAAATCGAGAGACAATTCAAATGTTAATCAATTAACAAAATTTTACAAAAAGATTATTGTTTTATCTCAGATGTTCCGACGATAAAACTTGCCTTCTAGAATTACCGCACTATCCTGTTTTTCATTGAAATGCCTATAAAAAAAACATGCTACTCCTGGGCCGTTCAAAAAAAGGGATTACTACACAATGTACATGTAATTGATTGAACAAGTTGATGCAGTAAACAGCTATATCCGTGAAACCAATATATTACATTGTAAGTTACAATTATCACCGATTTATATCCTCTGAGTATCTCAAATTATTCAGGCTTTAATGCAGTCTATTTGTGCCAATTCACAGATTCTGAGTAACCTCAATCTGGCAAGAGCTGGACAAGGATGAATTCCGTCAATTAAAACGTTATAAAATGTGTATGTGTATCTGGGGTCATTGCCCTAGCGTTTCCTACAAATCTGAATTTCGCAATTAAATTTCGGTGACACATCTCTTTATTTTTATAATGGCAGTTAAAATTTGAAGGCACCAGAGTAATGTAATACGATTTTATATGTAGATATAAGAAGATGTGGTATGAGTGCCAATGAGACAACTCTCCATCCAAGTCACAATTTGTAACAGAAAAACAATTATAGGTCAAAGTACGGTCTTTAACACGGAACCTTGACTCACAGCGAACAACAAGTTATAAAGGGTCCCAAAAATGACTTGTGTAAAACCATTCAAACGGAAAAACCAACCTTCTTATCTATATAAAAAACAAACAACTCGACCACATTCGCTATATAAAATATATAAGTTCAATGGTCACGGAAGTCGAATCTAGAGATAAACATTAGACATGTGTTTTTTTTTTATATTATATACACATCAGTTTTGGTTTGTTTTCCGAAAAACACGGTTTAAGTTTTGGATTATCGAATAAGAATACAGCTTAGAATTTTGAACTTTGTTTCAAACTGGCTACAAAAGCAAATAATGATGATAAATTTCTACACATTTGCATTTTATCTTAATTCAAAAAACTCTTATTTCAAAAACAGCACATCAGAATGGAACATCCAATGGTCGACTCCTATTAAACGTCACAGTACCCAAATTGCACCTACAGTATTAGACAAAAATAGCTGTGGAAATCTCTTTGAAACAAAACAATTGATATTTTTACGATTTAATATTACACACATCTCTTTCATCAAACATGTAGGTAAATATTTATAGATTATTACATGGCATTTTCCATATTGGCCCTGGTATCAGCCCTAGACTCCCATATCAAGCCAGAGGGCTTTAGCCCGAGGGCTTGATATGGGTCGTGGGCTGATACCACGGACCATATGGAAAATGACATGTAATAATCTATTTATCACATATTTTCAAGCAAGAGAAAAAAGATAGCATATACCAAATTATGTTTGACATTTTCAACAAAAATTCAAAAAAACATTTAACGAAAAAAATTTAAAAAATGTATCACAGTGAGTTAACAAAGTTCGAATCCCAGTGAGTAAACAAAGTTTTGTGAAAAGTTTAACAAATAATTAACAATAAATATATTAATTCCCAGAATTGTAAATATTAAACGACTTTAAAAAGTGTTACATTTCCAATTAATGCTGACGAAGAATACACCATATCGCTACTATGATTTGGTAATATGTTCCGCTTGAACTTTCGATGTCATACAACAATCGCTTTTTCATTATGACGTCAATTATTTTCTAAATTCTTTATGACGTCCAAATTTTACGGGAACTTTTGTGATTTCCACTGTTGATTTTTTACATTTTTTCTACTACAGCAGATTCGTAAATTTCTAAATTTCTTTTCATTGTGTTCTCATTTTTCATT